CCCCTCCCCCCTCCTCTCCCACTCGCTATAAAAATAAAAATATCCTGGGGTGAGGATTTAAAAAAAAAAGAAAAAAGGCCGGTTCCTCAAGTTCCAAACCCTAGGGCGGTTATAAGAATATAAAAAGTGTGGAAGTGTAAAGGGCTGGCCTGGCCTGTGTGAAATGCCCCACTAGCTGTTTGGGGAAAACAGTCCTGCACCCCAAGGAGTTTATTCTGCCCTGCTCACTGAAGAACAGGACAACTTTCCAGTTTGCCATACTCTCTGGTGGACCTGATGGCTCGAAATCGATCACTGAATGAGAAAGGTAGTTTGTATGTATTTGTTACCATTCTTATATACTGCGCTCACTGTTTTTGCCCTCCCAAAATTTGGGATCCCAAGAACAGTCAGCATCTTCTTACAGGTGACTGGCTTGTGCAAGTGAATACCTATTTGTAACTTTAGCGAGTATTATTATGGAATAAAACTAGAAATTCCGTAAACTGAGTATGTATAACACACAATTAACTATACTGGCATTTTCCTGGTTTTATAAAATTTAAATTGATGGGGTCTGTCTCACTTTAGGATGCTTTTTCTGATTGACTAATTAGATCAAAGGAATAAAAAGCAGACATTATAACCTGACATTTAGGTAGTTCTTTGCTGTTTACACCACACTTTGACATACAATAACCCACTTAATCCTTCCGGACTGTGTGAGGTCAAATTCTGTGAGGTTTACGGAGATTAAAAGGCTTGCTCACATTGCTGGTATGTGGCTGAACTGGTGCTCAAATCCGGGAATCCTGGTTCCAAATCTAGCTCTGTCTCTACTGCAACTTAGTTCACAGTCATAGAATTTTAGAATTCAAAGAATCTTTAGAAGTCTTCTAGTGCAATCCTTCCTCTATTTTTTATTTTTTAATATATTAAGATTTTAAGAAATTTATCTAGGGGCCCACAACTTGCCACTAAACCTCGAATCTCATTCCAGTGTCTTTCCCACTCAGCCACCCTGCTCCCACCTTCTGTGGAGCTTATACTAAGAAGGCTTATACTAACCAAAAGCTAACGTTATATATAAAGTGAATGAGTTTTTCTTTGTCTGAAAATAATCTACTAATGGAGTTATATCAAAATGGAGATCTGTGCCTTCTGATCTGATGCACTCGAAAAGAACTCATCACCTGCCAAAAATGCCAAGAATGTTTACCCTGAATCTCACGAGCAAATAGTAAGACAAATCCAATTGTAGGACATTCTACAATTCTGGATTCTTTAAAAAAGCAATATCATGAAAGTGTTAAAGAACAAAAATTTAATCAACAATTTGAAGATTTAATTGGCTTTATTGAGCGACCACAAACCTGGCTGAAAGTAGAGAGGTACTCTTAGAAACCACAAATGGAAAGGTTTTTAAGGCAGAAACTGGGTGGGACTAGAAAGCTATTAGCAAAAGAAAAGAAAGGATTGTTTCAGGTAAGGTTGCCTTCCCCTAAGGGAGTCTTATCAAACTGATTTCCCCAGTTTCCTTTGAGGGATGGAGAAGGGCCATGTGACAGATTACCTCAATGCTACTGACCAGAAAATTCCAAATTTACCAATTAAGGTTACATTTCTGGAGAAGGTTGAAACTGCAATTAGTCAGGTATTACGTCTAGGTTTGCACTTGCCCATGTGACTCCATTTTGGACCTGGATTGTCTGGATTTCAGTCATTTTTCTTGGACAAATGCCCAGGGGTGAACGCTATGTGAAAAACAAAAGGTTACTATTCCTAAAGTAAAAAGAGCTTCTAAAAGTAGAAAAGAAAAAGTCATGTGGTATGTATATTTTATTTTTTTAATAAACTGCCAAACATTTCAAGTGTGACTGTACTATTTTATATTCCCACTAACAATTTCTGACCTATCAAGTTTTGCCACGTTCTAACCATTGTTTGGTATTGTCACATTTTAAAAGTTCAGCTGTTTTAATAGGTACTTAATGATGTCTTATCAAAAGTTGTGGTTTATTTTTTTATTTTATTTTAGAGGAAGAGAGAGAGAGATACATCAATGTGAAAGAGAAACATAGATCGGCTACCTCCCTGACTGGGATTGAACCCAAAACCTGGGTATGTGTCCTCACCGGGAATCAAACCAACAACCTTTTAGTGCACAGGAGGATGCTCAACTAACTGAGCCACAGTGGCCAAGGCAAAAGTTGTGATTTTTTTATTTTAAATTTATCTTTATTGTTGAAAGCACTACAGCTGTCCCATTTTTCCCCCAATTGACCACCTCACTCCCCCACCCAAGGCCTTTACCCCATTATTGACTGTGTCCATGGGTTATGCATATATGCATATAAATTCTTTGGTCAATCTCTTCCCACCCTCCACCCTCCTTCCCTCTGAAATATGATCGTCTGTTCCATGCATGGGTCAGTGTCTCTGGATCCGCTTAGTATGTCAGATTCTTTTGTTCATTAGCTTCTTGTTAAAGAAGACCCTTCAACATTTCACGTAGTACTGGTCTGGTGGTGATGAACTCCTTTAGCTTTTCCTTGTCTGAGAAGAGCTTTATCTGACCTTCAATTCTAAATGATAGCTTTGCTGAGTAGAGTAATCTTGGTTGTAGTTCCATGTTTTTCATCACTTTGAATATTTCTTGCCACTCCCTTCTGGCCTGCAAAGTTTCTGTTGAGAAATCAGCTGACAGTCATATGGGTGCTCCCTTGTAGGTAACTAATTGCTTTTCTCTTGCTGCTTTTAAGATTCTCTCTTTGTTTTTAACCTTTGGTATTTTAATTATGATGTGTCTTGCTGTGGGCCTCTTTGGGTTCCTCTTGTTTGGGACCTTCTGTGCTTCCTGGACTTGTAAGTCGATTTCTTTCCCCAGGTAGGGGAAGTTTTCTGTAATTATTTTTTCAAATAGGTTTTCAATTCCTTGGTCTCTTTCTTCCCCTTGTGGCACCCCAATAATATTAATGTTGGGCCTCTTGAAGTTGTCCCAGAGGTTCCTTATACTATCTTCATATTTCTGGATTCTTTTTCCTTTTTGCTCTTCTGGTTGGGTGTTTTTTGTTTCCTCATGTTCCAAATTGCTGATTTGATTCTCAGCATCCTCTACTGTTGGCTCCCTGTAAATTATTCTTCATTTCGGTTTGTGTAGCCTTCATTTCTGATAGGTATTTTATTAGGTCATTGATGGTCTCAGTTGTTTTCATAATAGTCTTACTAATATCCTTGAACATCCTTATAAACAAAATTCTGAACTCTGTATCTGTTAGCTTGCTTGGTTCTATTTCATTTAGTTCCTTTTCTGCATATTTCTTCTGTTCTTTCCATTGTGACATGATTCTTTGCCTCTACATTTTGGCTGCTTCCAGGTGTTTGTTTCTATGTATTAGGTAGAGCTGCTATGT